TAGTAAAATTATGAGTAATTCCGGCCTAATTTTTTGATCGTCGCTCTTAGCCAATCAAAATCGAGAATCTGCCGGTCAAATTGTTGTGGTTAATTATAAAGCACAAGCTGCGCATATGTCTTTCTTAACTAAATGTGGAAACATTGTACTATAAATATTTCATGCGTGTGTACGTACGTACGTACATGTGTGCATCCTAGATTTTATTCACGCTACTTTTTTAAGAAAACCGCTTTTTCGTTTTCTGCACTTAGCATAATTCAAGATAATTAAAGATGTCTTCACAAGAACACAATTATAATGCTTCCGATATAGATGCCGTCCAACCATACAGTCCCTTATTAAACATGGTTACGTTCATAGTTGACCAGATGTTATCAATCAGTAAAAATGCGACATGTAATGAAAAAATATGCACTGCATTATTAAATCGTGTTGAAATTGCACAAAGGGCTGTTAAATCATTTGAACTAAAATATCATGTAAATGAGGAAAATTTTAGGAAACACGGCTATTATTATACTTAGATTAAATTTGTTAATGTTTTGGAGAATATTAATGAATTTGCTAAGGAAATTACGCAAATGACAACATTTCAAAAGTTTATGTCTGCTAAAGCTGTTAAAGGTGCTTATGAAAAAAATATTAAAGAATTTGAAGAAGTTTTTAACGAATTAAATTTTACTATGACTTTGTATGGTTTTGAGCAAAGGGAAATAGATGCAGAAAATCTGGCTGAAGATCTTGTGTTTTTGAAAAAGGTAGTGTATTATAAATTTGAATTAATGTATGCATATTAATTTATATTGTTTATATAAATCTTTTTTTTTATAATATATAATGTATTATAGACTATGAATAACATGAAATATGAAATCAGGTCAGCAATAGGAGAAGTTACTACGTTGATATCTTCACAAAAATACAATGATAATGCTCAACAAATACACAATAATAAAGCTTCCCATTTACAAGGAGAACTTAATGAAACATTTGAAAAATCAACTGGTCAGACACAAGACGTAATCGCACCATTCGTTCCAATATTCAACATGGTTACGGACATACTTAACCAGATGTCATCAATCTATGAAAATGCAAAACGTAATGAAAAAATATGTGCTGCTTTATTAGATCGTGTCAAAATTGCAGAAAAAGCCGTTAGTTCTTTGCAATATGAATTACAGGCAAATGAAGAAAATTTTAGAAATAAAGACCGTCAAGATTGGATTGGATTAAATTTATTTTTGCCTTGGAAAATATTAAAAAATTTGCCAAAGAAATTACATCACTTAAATATTTTCAAAACTTTATAAATGCTAACGCTGTCAAAAAAGCTTATGAAAAAAATATTAAAGAATTTGAAAAAGTTTATAGTGATTTGAATTTTACTATAACTATGTATGATGCTGAACAGAGAGAACAAAAAGAAATAGAAGCAAAAAATGTAGCTAAAGATTTTGAGATTTTGGAAAAGGTATTGTAAATTTGAATTTTTTATATATTTTTTATATCGGCTTGCATAATTTGTTTCTTATCTAATATACTTATGCATAAATCTTAATAAAACTCAAAAAAAAAAATGATGTTATAGGAAATTTTTCTTAATCTTAAGAGCTCTGCCGATACAGGCGATGTTGATGGAATGAATAGTGTTGCGAAGTGTTATTTATTTGGAGAAGGTGTTAAAAAAGATGAAAATATGGCATTCAATTATTTTAAACGATCTGCCGATAAGGATAATGTTTATGGAATGAATAGTGTTGCAAGGTGTTATCAATTTGGAGAAGGTGTTAAAAAGGATGAAAAAATGGCATTTTTTTATTATCAACAAGCTGCTGAAATGGGAAATATTTATTCAATCCATAGTCTTGGAGAATGTTATCGGAAAGGGATTGGAATTGAAAAGGATTTAAAGAAAGCCTTTGAACTGTATTTGAAATCTGCTGAACTTGGTCTAGTTGGTGGAATAAAAGATGTTGGATATTGTTATCGAAATGGGATTGGAACGAGAAAGGATTTAAAATTGGCTGAGCATTGGTTTCGAGAGTAAGTCCTTTTTTTCTCAAAAAAATAAACCTTATACTAAAGATCTAACAATTTTATTTTAATTATAGGGAGAAAACCAAATTTCAAGGTATTTTTCATCTTTAGTTTTATTTTATTTTGATAAATATTTATATTTATTTATTTAAAACAAATAGAAATAAGGAAATTTTCTTATTCTGGTAGTGATAATAACGTGAAAAAATTATTGGACGATGAGAGATATCAATTATTATGGATTCCATACAATAAATTTGAAAATATTAAAGAGATTGGGAAGGGGGGATTTGCAACCGTTTATTATGCAAACAGTCTAATTGAATATGAGGATACTTTTGATAAATATTCGTTCGCAATTAAATTAATTCATAATCAAGATTTTTTTGACGAGGTATATAATCATTTGGGTTTATTTATATTTAAATTTTAGCTTTGTTTAATGTTTAAATTTATAACTAATATATATGTATTTTAAAGTTGAAATCGTTTTGCGAGATAGGATATAAAAATCCATCATTCTTAAGATGTTACGGAATATCAAGAGATGATTCAGGAAATCACATACTTGTTTTGAAATATGCAGAGAAGGGTTCTTTACGTAGTAATCTCCATCAAGTATCGCAAATGAAATGGGAAAAGAAGTTAAATTTATTAAGTTGCATAACATCGGATCTTGAAGCAATTCATTCGCAAGAATTGGAACATCGGGATCTTCATAGTGGAAACATTTTGCAAGATGATTTGGATAACGCATATATTACAGATTTAGGACTTTCTAATACAAAAATAAAAGCGTGCGGAGTTTTACCATATGTAGCCCCAGAGATTTTACGAGAAAAACCATATACTCAAGCCGTTGATATTTATGCTTTGGGTATCATTATGACTGAAATATCAACAGGAAGAAAGGCATTCGATGGTTGCAACTTTGATAATGAACTTGCGATAAAAATTTGCTTTGAATTAAGACCAGAATTTACATCAGGTACTCCTGATTGTTATATTAAATTAGCCAAGCGATGCATGGATTCAAACCCAGGAAAGCGACCTACTATTCGATATATTAATGCTTTAATTACTTATTGGATTGAAGAATTAGAAGATTCTAATGATGAAAGTGAAGTAAAAAAACTATTTTTAGAAGCTGATAAAATTAAACCTATTAATGAATCATCAAAACATTCGAATGACGTATACGTCAGTAAATCCATCAATTCACGGGAGATAACAAACAGATTATCTAATTTGCCTGAAGTTCCTGACGATTATTAAGTCAAAATTATGCTATTCACATTTTTATTGAAAGAAATATAGAATATAATTTAAAAGAAAACCTTTTATTTTATGCTATATGAAACGTGGATATAAGTCGTAAAACAAAATATAAAGACAAAAAATTAAATTATTTAAAGTTAGGTTATATTGAGTCTTGAATAAAGCATTTATGGTAAATCGGTGTATTAAAAAATTTTGTATACATAGGTAAAATTAGCACACGTTATTGTATTGTTATTAGTCTGGAAACAAGCGTTACATATTTTAACGAAATAAATACGTAATGCGAAGAAAGTGAATACTCTGACTAATGGCCATTTATTTTGTTATTTCATGACGCATTAGCCGGTTTAAATGAAAAGAATCTTTTTTAAATCAAGAGTTTAAATTATATAGAACAATGCATTGTGTGATTTGAGTTTATTTTATATAATAAAGAATTTACAAATCACTCTTGTTAAATTTCAATAAGTCAATAAAATTTACTACAGTGAAACCTCCATAAATGCGCCCTCTATAAATGCACATTTTCTTATTGTTATCTAAATGCATATTGTCCCAAGAGCGTGCATTTATGTAGGTCTCACTGTACTACAAAATTTTATTAATACAACTGCTTTTGTGCTCTAAGTGAAAAATGATCCTAATCTTATTCTAAATTGATTTGTGTGAAATTTGTCCTTTTTTGCAGCACTCAGACTAGAGTTGCAGGTGAAACTAATCTTCAATGGTGCACCGATGGTAAAACTAGAGTTATAGATGAAGCTAATCTTCAACGGTGCACCGATGGTGCACCAGGTGAAACTGGTGAAACTGGTGAAATTAATTAGTTTCACCTGCAACTCTAACTCAGACCATACATTAATTAATTAATTAATTAATTAAATTAATTAGTTGTTCTTTTTTTATTTGCTGTATAGTTTCTGATGTGAAAGAGCAGTAAATTTATGATATCAGCAGTCTCACCGAAGATCCATATTATGAAAGAAATAAAAAATGAATAAAAAATAAAAAAAATAAAAATAAATGAGAAAATTATCGGTGATTGCAATTCCTGTTTTTTTGAACATTTTTTTTCGGCCAATCCGATCGTTCGACAAACATGTCTCGACTACAGGTGTAGAAAGATTTACGTAACCGGATTATGTCCTATATATAAATAAACAAGTAGTAGTAGCTGAAAATAAGGTCAGAAAGATTATTATATCTTATATGGCAAATGACATCACCCAAGAAATTATAAAAACAAATATAAAACACGCATCCCAATTACAGAATTTGTAAAGCAAATTATGGAGAATATATCCAAATTTCACGAGAATCGCTTAGAAAATATTTGAATAAAGATCAAGATGAGTTTTCACTAAACGATGCAATGTTTGAGAACATGTTGGGATAGTTCTAGCTTTTCATAACTCATAATGATATGCCTAGAACCTTTACATCTATTACAATGTTGCATATAATAAATAATCTTGTTTCAATTAGTTTCCTGGGATTTGTTTTACATATTTTCTGAGCAATGTCCAAATCAGCATTTTCCATGTCTTTCGACGCTTCTGACATTTCCAACTGCTGAATACTTTATAATGGTTTTTCCATACCAAATGGTCGATGATCTTAATTTTTTAAAAATATTGTGACTTACATTCTGTAATTTTATGAGAAAACTCTTGAAACAGATAACATGTTGGGTAGCTTTAAAAACAAGGAACCCAGTAATATCTTCGCAATCGTCACATCACATTATTAAATACAGCCTAAGTGTTAGGGTTAGGTGATACATAGATAGTTTAGGCCGATTTGTTAGTGCTAGTAAACAAATGACGTCGTTGCATGATTTTACGTAATGTGCTTAACACTGGGTTCCTTGTTCTTGAAGTATATTATTTATCATATTATTGTTATTGTTATATACAATATAAACGCGAAATGCACCCGGTGTGTGATTTGAATAATTGCCCGAATTAAACTTAATATGGACCAAATTCGAAACTACCTACACTAGTCAGTAAATCAAATAAATTACGATCGCTAAAAACATTGCGATTATCAAATAATTTTGGACGGCAAAAAAAAATCCAACTAAAAAAATTATTGAAAATTGAAAAATCTAGAAATCATCAATCTAAATCTATAATAATAACATAACATAGCCATAAACACAACCATAACATAACCAAAACCAAGAGACTATATATAACGCTTTTAATCTGTGAAACATTCAA